CTGAGACATAAAATCTCGTTCCTTGTTAGCGACGAACTGCCTTTCGATATGTTGCTAGGCATGTACTACCTCAAGCCTCAAGGTCGCTCAACCTCAATTTGATTGGGATAGGAAGGTGATGATTCACAAGTTGCCAAATGGAAGGACTGTTAGACTGTAGAAGTTTAAGGCTAGCAGGCTAGTGGAGAACTATGGTTGCATGTGTGCAACTTCTTTTTATTACTATAAACAAAATCGCGAGGAGGGCATGTACCTAGTCTGTCTTTGAGAAAGGGGAGGCCGTAAAATCACCCCCAGAGAAAGAAGTAGTGGTTGCTCCATTTCCAGTCCTTTTTTAGGAGCCCAGTGGTGTGGTAGAAAGGGAGGTTGTCCATGCGATAGAAGTCGTCCCCGGTAGCAAAGTACCTAGAGGACGGATCTATAGGATGTCTCCTGCAGAGTTGGATGAGCTCCACCGCCAACTCAAAGAGCTCACAGAGAAGGGATGGATTCGGTCTAGTACCTCCCCTTATGGTGCACAGACGAGGGGTACCTTAAACCAGCAGTTCACAGACCCCTACTATTCACCATAAGTAATACACTGCAACCGTGGCCAGATGAACAGTGATCAGGCACGACGCAGGTTCGAAGGGAAAAGGTTGGTGGGCCCCAAAAAAATAGACTGAAAGTGAAATTGGGAAAAAAAAAATGAGAACAAATGAGAAACTGGGACTGCACTATTTACTTAGACATCCTGCCTTGCTGGCATGGCACTAATTTTAAAAAACCAAAATAAAAAAGAAGAAAACAAAGACGGATTTGGACGTAATATCCATCCGACACATTCTGGAAAGTAGTTGCGTTAATATGCCTTGAGTGAGGGCATTCCCTAGAATGTAAATAGGGAAAAACAACAACAACAAATGTAAGGTATGAACCTGATAGCGGTCAGATACATTCTGGAAAGTAGTAGTGTGCGTATGCCCTCAGTGAGGGCCTTTCCTGAGAAGGTGGAATACGCCCTGCCGCCCTGGCAGGGCACTACAAGAAACAAGAACGAAAAAAAGAAAAGGAAAGAAAAGACAATGATTTGGCTGTGATAGTGGTCAGATACATTCTGGACAATACTATTGTGAGTATGCCCTAGGTCAGATAGCTTCCCGTACATCTCTTTTCTGTTTCTTTCATGAAACGACAACGACCTTTGTTCATCATTGATCTGGATTTAGGTTTTTTTTTTTTTTTTTCCGCTTGTCTTTTCCATGCCATCTGCTGGCACGAGGTACATCACTTGAGTTTCATGGAAGCCTCGTACCAGTACCCCGAGATTTTTCTTTTCAGTCTGTTATTGTAGCAGTCGGGCTTGGAAACGTGCAACTTTTGGTTCGTCAGTTTAGCTTTGTGTGAAATGGTGGTTTAAGGATGTGCATTGATTACAGGGGCCTCAATGCCATTACCGTTAAGAATGCGGAGCCCCAACCCCGCATCAACGACCTCTTGGATAGAGTGCAGGGATGCCAGTGCTTCACAAAGATAGATCTGAAGTCCGCATACCATCAGATTGCCATTAGACCTAAGGACCAGCACAGAACCGCATTCCAGACCCGATACAGTCTGTAGGAATTTGTGGTGATGGCCTTTGGCCTATGCAATGCTCTTGGGATTTTCCAGCACGCAATGAACCGGATCTTTCATGAATACTTAGACAAGTTAATTGTCGTGTACCTCGATGATATTTTTATCTTTAGTAAGACTGTCGAGGAGCACGCTGAGCACGTGAAAACAGTGCTAGGTCTCCTAAGACAACACCAGCACAAGGTTAACTTGGAGAAATGCGAGTTTGGTAGCAACAAAATCTTGTATCTGGGTCATGAAATTTCCACGGACAGTTCGAGGTCGGATGATGCCAAGGTGACCAGCATACGTGACTGGCCCAGGCCTCGGTCTGTGACTAAGGTGAAATCATTCTTGGGGATGACAGACTACTGTAGACCGTTTGTGAAAAACTACAGCACTATAGCCTCCCCATTAACTGACCTCGCATGCCTTGACACCCCTTGGGAGTGGACAAAAGAGTGTGAGGTAGCCTTCAAGAAACTGAAGTATGCCCTAACACACTACGAAGTCCTTAAACTGTCTGATCCTGAGCAACCCTTTGTGGTGACCACTGACGGTAGCCAATACGGCATAGGCGCAGACTTTGCGCAAAAGGAGGGGAATAAGTTAAGGCCCATCGAGTACATGAGTAAAAAGATGCCATCTCATAAGTTAGCAAAGTCTACATACGAGCGTGAGCTTTATGCCCTCTATCGAGCGCTGGTCCACTCTTGACATTATCTCCTTGGCATATTCTTCTATGTGAGATCTGACCATGAGACTTTGCGCTGGATTAAAACACAACTTGTGCTCTCTAACGCAATGAAGAGATGGATTCAAGTTATAAACATGTATGATTTCCAACTTAATCCTCTCAAAGGAGAGTACAATAAAGTGGCTGATGCACTATCACGTAGGGCGGACTATCTGGGACCGCTAGTGACTGAGTTTGAGATATTTGAAGATGTAACTCGATCTTTGGTGGAAGCTTACCGGAAAGACGCAGTTATGTCTGAGATCATTCGCAAACTGGAAGCAAAAGATAAAGCTACCTTCGACGAGTTTGTGCTGGTTGAAGGCTTGCTGTTCCTGGAGAAGGCTAGGAATAAAAGACTGTGTGTCCCGGATAGAGAGTCTTTGCGTAGTTTATTTTTAGGAGACTGTCATGACGCAGCAGGTCATTTTGGGTTTAAAAAGACTTCAGCCAACTTGGTACAACAATTTTGGTGGCCCACAATGATGAATGATGTCAAAACATATGTAGAGACTTGCCAGGTTTGTCAACGTGACAAGCCCAGGACGCAGGCACCGCTTCGGCTGCTCAAGCCCTTGCCTATGCCTGCCGGACCCGTTCAAAGTGTATCCATGAACTTCATGGATACTCTTGTGACCAGCAAGAGCGGCAAGAGACACATCTTCGTCATTGCAGATAGGTTTACCAAGTATGTCAGACTGATCGCCATGCCTGAAACTGCTAAAACTGACTACGTCATCAAGCTGTTTTTAGACAACTGGGTACGCGACTTTGGTCTCCCTACGTCTATTGTAAGTGATAGGGATGTAAGATTTACTAGCGAACTGAAAAAAAAAAAAAAAAAAAAAAAGATTTACTAGCGAACTGTGGCAATCCACAGCCCAACAGATGGGCACCCGACTATGAATGACATCAGGGAATCACCCTGAGTCAAATGGCCAGGGAGAACAAATGAATCGAGCAGTGCAGCACCTGCTTCGGCATTACATCAAGCCAAGTCAGGATGACTAGGACGAGAAATTGCCTCTCGTCGCCAGTCTGTACAATAACGTTGTGCATAGCACTACTGGTATGACTCCCAAGATGCGCTGCTGGAGCAGACACTCACGGGCTGCTGCTAGCGCTGGGGCAAGGTGCTGCGCACGTGCGGTCATGTAGGAAGAAGGGCGCTGCAGTGGGCAGTGCCATAGCCCAGCTTCCATAGCTGGCTGGGCTTGGACGAACAGCAGTGGTGGTCTTCGGGTGTAAAGAGGGAAGACAAGGGAGAAAGACAAGGGAGAGAGAGAGATCGAGATGAGGATGATGTTGTGAGGGCTCATACCTGGTATTGGCGATGGTCTGCATTGGGCGACATCTTCATGTACTTCGGTGGCTGCTGGCATCAACAGTTGCATTGTCAATTCGTAGGCAGATAGTAGCTGTGTGGGGAGTAGTCTGGGCGCTGAGCGCCAAGTAGGGGGAAGGGCCTGGACTCCTATGTTGGTGATGACAAGAGTAAGCTCTCGTTGACATTTGTTTTCAGTGTAATGATTCTCCATTGGTGTAACATTGGTGCAATGCTGCTTTCTTTGCACTGTGAGACTTTCTGGCTTTCAATGTGATCATGTAATCTGGATTCAGTCATCTCGCTATTGCTCATTTTCCTTGCACTATTCTAAATTATAATTAATTTATTATATCATATTTTATTTTATTTATTATGTATATAGTGTATATATAGGTCGTTGACCTTCGTCATCTACAACCGATATCTCTTTTAATCCCTGCACCAAGTGGGGCCCCTTGTGCCAGCCAGGATCCGAAGGCAGTCTATTGATGAGATCTATTGGCTTGTCATGCCGTGTAGGAAAGTAGACAACAGAATCATTGCATTCTGCGTGGTAACTAGCACCCGGACCTGGAGTAACAGTGGTTCTGCGTGGTAACTAGCCGGGAAATTGTACCTGGACCTGGAGTCTAAAGTACCCCGGCCAGGTGGCTACGTTCCTGGACATCCATGATAACACGTGCGAAGGGCGATGCTCTCTGGGAGTGTGTGCTCGTACTGCAACCGTGCAGGGGTGGGCTGGCCATCCCTATGGTTCATTTTTTGAATTGCGTCAAAGTTGCCGTGGTTAAGGTGTCTGGCTGTTGAGCCCGAGATCGCCGACTCTGGTGGTTTGATTCCTTTCAGGGTTGGTCCAAAAATTTGCAAAAAAAAAAGCAGTAGGACATGCCATGTCATGTATCGTATTCTGACATGTTATCATGCGAAGTCACGGAAGGTGAGAGAAAAGATTAAAGGTGATGTGCTATGAAGCCAAGGAAGTCAGTGTGACATGGCAGGCCAGCAAGAGGTGTCTCCCTCACCTGTCCTAACATCCTTCAAGTTCATGCCTTTTGCATTCCACGAATTCCCTTTCTCCCTTCCTCAGCTGCTGGAATGACACCCAAATGCATAAGCTTGCAATTTTATTTAACTTTTTTATGTAGAGGTGGGTCAAGCTTGTAATTTTTGCTGATGGAATCGCACCCAAATGCATGAAGTGGGTTAAGCTTGCAATTTCATTTAACCTTTTTTTGTGGAATTGGGTTAAGCTTGGAATTTTCTGACCAACCAATGCCTACGTTTTATATATGTTTCCTGCTGTGGCAAAAATGTGATGGTCATGTGATTGGTTGGTTGGTACAGTTGCTCCTACAGGTTCATCTCTGGAGTCCACTGCAACTCCAACAGGGACATTTGAGGGTCTGCGAAGGCTCAACGTTGCTGTTGATGGAGCCAATGTGAGTTAACTCCGTCTGATGACCCAACTTCATTGCTTCTCTTTATTTGACAAGACTTCTCTCTCTCTCTCTCTCTCTCTCTCTCTCTCTCTCTCTCTCTCTCTCTCTCTCTCACACACACAC